ACTATTGATGAGTCTTAATAATGCGTATGTAACCTTGAAGCCAGCATATTTTAATTTCTTAGCACTTAATAAACATTGTAGTCAAGGTAGAAATTAATTTGGAGAACTCCCAGTTATGCAACTGGGACCTGGAGCACCTATGGACACAAATGCATGTATTCGTTTGGGGAACTCATCATGGTCCCAAATCATCCAAACGTGCTCATGAGATGTTCTTGTCTCCATCCCCTTCGGTGTTACAGATTCCTGGGCTGAAAACATAGATTCGCAATAAACAAGGACTGTAAAGATGAAGAAACAGAACTAGTGTCACTGTCATTCTATGTGCTCCTTTGAAGTGGCTGTTCGTGTCTTTAAATTTAAAAGAGTGAAAAGAAAAAAGAATTCTTACACATGTCTTCTGTTACTTCAGAGTGTGATGATACCTTTGGGAATTTTGCCTCCTGTCTTCAGAAACTGTCACTGACTTACACGTCTTTAGGAAACATATTGTTTTAAAGGGCTTCATAAAAGAATATAATCCTTTCAGGGAGATTTCAGAAGGAGAGCCCATCTTTAAGACAATGCTTTTACTGATGTCTTAGATTGAGGTAAAGGTTCATCTGCAAGACAAAGTAGGAAGTATCTTTCTTAAAAAGCAAATGTTTTGCTCTTGCCTACAATCCTGGGTTGGAGCTCTTGGAGATCACATTGACCTTGATACACACAGGAAAAGCTCAGAAGTCAAACAGAGGATTCATGAAACATCATAAATCTTTTTAAATAAGATTTAGAGTTTATCAACTCCCATTAGAAAAAAAATTGTTTGAAATCTGTTGAGAAAGAAGGAACTATTTTTCTGTCTCTTTAGTACTTAGAAATGTTTAGAGATAAACATGGTATTTAAAGCATGGGAATGTGTAAAATTGTATTCAATAGCATTTTTAGACAAGGCATTAAGAATACTTTAAAGTGTTTGTCTACTGCATTAATTTTAATTATACTCCACTGGATTCACAATGCTTTGAAATGCGTTAAAAATGCCCCCAAGATCTTTTATTAATCATAACACAAATACCACGAAATTCAAATACTGATGTTTCCAACTCTTGGTATCGGCGGCTTGCCTGCGAGCGCCCTCTTCTGTTTGCTGAGTATATTGCAAATCGCAGGACAAGGAATTCCTGGCTCTGGGTAGTTCAAAATGGTCTGTTCAGAAAAAAGACAGCACACACAGGCTTATTTATTTAAATGAGCCATCGTTTGGAAGGTCTGAAAGATTATTCTGAGACAGATACACGAGGAAAAGATGAGGGAATAGCTGCAAGTCCTGAAGTGAAATGCTAATTCGCATTTCTTCCCCAGGAATTTTCACAGAAAAGAACTTCAATCTTCAAACCGTGGTGCAACTAATCAGTTTTCCTTTTCCTTCCAGAAATGAACATGACTGTAAAATATTACCTGCATCTATTATCTAAAATTTTTCTTTGCAACTTAACTATTGGCTTTCTGACTAACAGTTTCTATCGCGCTTTAATAATTCAATTTCACATTTATAGGCTAGTTCTAAACAGAAATGCATTAACACGATTACAAGAACAATCTTTTGTTTCATATAAGTTGAGAAAATATTCAGGTAATTAGGTCGAGTCCCATGAAATGATTAAGTATTGACATTTCATATGGTTCAAGCAAATATACCCTGCTCTGTGTTTCCCCACCTTGGGTTTAGCACAAAAAGCCCTTGGAGAAACTGTAACAGTAATTGGGGGGGTGGGGAGGCCAGGAAAGGGAGGTTACAGGTTCTGTGCCCCACCCAAAGGACAGTGTTACTGAGCAGGGCGGGG